TTCCTGTATTTAATTATAGCAATCTAAAACAAAGGGGGAGAATCAAATCTTTAGGAGCACATTGCAAGGTAAAGGTTCACTGCAGAGTCCATATACCATAGTTGATGATCCATATTTGACAGCTCCTCATGGAGTCCTGAAAAATTAATGTGGACATTTCTTGAGCCTTTGATGTTCACTGCAATCATCTGCTTCATTGTTAAGATCAGAAAACATATGGGATGAATTGGTAAGGGCTGCTAAAAGTTACTGTTGCCTTTTCTTTCCCAATTTATCTCTGTGGCCAATTTAAGACATTCTTGAAACAGATCTTGCATAGCTACCTTTAAATCATATTCCAAATCTAGGACACATTAATAAGAGAGGTTAGGGAAAGAAAGTTGAAGATGGGAAATTAAGTATCCTCAGGGAGCCTTTCTGAAACAAATACCTTCAGATACTGTAGCAAATGTTAATAATCCAGAATTCTGGAGGCTGAGACAGAAGGATCTCAAGTTCTAAGGCAGCCTGGACTACACACAGCAAGACCCCATCTTTACAAAAAGAGATACGGGCTGGGAATGTGGCTTAGTGATAGAGTGCTTGTCTAGCATGCATGAAGCCCTGGGTTCAATTCCTCAGTACAGAAAGAGCCAAAAGTGGTGCTATGGCTCAAGTGGTAGACTGCTAGCTTAAGCAAAAGAAGCTCAGGGACAGGACCCAGGCCCCAGGATTAGCAAAAAATTAAAGTTAAAAAAAAAATTAGGTGTAGATGACTCACGCCTGTAATCCTAGCTACTCGGGAGGCTGAGAGATGAGGATCAAGGTTCAAAGCCAGCCCAGGCAGGAAAGTCTGTGAGACTCTTATCTCCAATAAAACACCAGAAAACTGGAAGTGGTGCTGTGGCTCAAGTGTTAAGAGTACTAGCCTTTAGCTGAAGAGCTCAAGGCCAGTGCCCAGACCCAGAGTTCAATCCCCACGACTGACCAAAAAAATTAATTTAATTTAAAAAGGAGCTATGTGCCAGCTGCCCGTAGCTCACACCTGTAATCCTAGCTACTCAGGAGGCTGAGATCTGAGGATCTTGGTTCAAAGCCAGCTAGGGCAAGAAAGTCTGGAAGAGTCTTATCTCCAATAAACCACTCAGAAAACCAGAAGTGGTGCTGTGGCTCAAGAGGTAGAGTGCTTGCCTTGAGAGTTGAGGGACAGCACCCAGGCCCAGAGTTCAAGCCTCATGACTGACCAAAAAAAAAAAAAAAAGAGCTATGTAATATATACCAGCACCTAACATTATTACTATAATTAAGTAGAATTATCTCCATTTATAGATTAAGCAAGAAAATCAGTTTCAGAGATTGAAAAACTCCCAATATAACTGGTCCTCAAATTCAAACTCTGTTCAACTGTTACCATTATGTCTGTTTCCTGTACATTTCTGCCCTGTATATTTCTGAAGCTTGAACTCAAGAGCGTGGGTGTTGTCTCAAAGCTTTTTTGTTCAAGGCTAGCACTCTACCACTTAGAGTATTTTGTTGGGGAGAGTGTTTAATTGGATGTAAGAGTCACAAATTAGGACAGCACCAGTTGATTCACAGCTTTTTCTGAGTAGTTTATTGGAGACTGAGTCTCACACTTTCCTGCCTAGACTGGCTTCAAACTGCAATACTCAAATCTCAGCCTCCTAAACAGCTAGGATTACAGGTGTGAGCCAATGACAGACGCCCAGCTATAGTGCTCTCAATCTTACCCCTTTTGGGGCTGGGAAGGTGGCTCAGTGGTAGAGTGCTTGCCTTGCATGCATGAGGCCCTACATTCCATTCCTCAGCACCACATAAGCAGAAAAAGCAGAGAGTGGCGCTGTGGCTCAAGTGGTAGAGCACTAGCCTTGAGCACCTAGACCCAGAGTTCAGGCCCATGACTGACCAAAAAACAACAACAACAACAAAAACTTACCCCTTTTTCCCCTCATCCAGTAATTGGGGTTAGGGGTAAAAACATCACTGTGGCATAATAGATAAGGACTAATGGAAAGCATGAAACATTGTGAGTGTGCTTACCTGGGGGAGCCCCTCTTCTCATTTATTGCTTTTCTATTTTTTATTTTTTTTTGTGGGGGGGGGGGGAGGTACAAGTTTGAGGACCCAATCCAGGGTCTGGAGCAAGAAAGTGCTCTTACCATTGAACTACATTCCAATCTGTTAACTGTAATTTAACACAAATATTCAGCCAGGCATTGGCAGCTCACACCTATAATCCCAGCCACTAAGGATGCTGAGATCTGAGGATCCCTGTCAGAAGCCAGTCCCGGCAGGAAAAGCCCATGAGACTTTTATCTACAATTAAACAGCAAAAGCCAGATGTGGGTTTGCATCCCAGTGTTAGAACACCAGCCTTGAACAATAAAGTTAAGGGACAGCACCCAGGAAGGGACTGAGTTCAAGCCCCAGTTCTGGAAATAAATACAAAATAAATATTCAAGGAATGCAATTCAGGGATAGAGTGCTTACCTAAGGAGCAGGAAGGAGTTCCTGGTGTTCAAAACCCAAGGAAGGAAGGAAGAAGGAAGGGAAGGAAGGAAAAAAGGAAGGAGCAAGCAAAATAAATATTTATATGCATATGAAAGTATATTTCCTGATGCAATGAGCCCATAGACTACTTCTCAAGAGATATCAGTTAGGATGTAGGACTGAGCTGCTTCTTACATTCTCTCTCACCAGCACTACAGATAATTATAAAAGCCAGACAGGACTATGCTGAAATGAATTTACACCACTTTGGGGAGGGATGGGGTTCAGGAGAGAAAAATCTGTGAGGAAATGAGGAAAGAGGTGACAACTGTTCAAAAAGAAATGTACTCAGTACCTGACCTATGTAACTGTAACCCCTCTGTAAATTTAAAATATATATATATATATATACATATATAATCAGAGTGGGGAATCTAATTAAGTGGTAGAGCAGAGCATTTGCCCAACATAGACTAGAGGCTTGCGTTAAAAAAAAAAGACAAAAAACTTAAAAGGAGAAAGGGAAAGAAAAAGATAAGAAGGAAAGAGGGAAAATGAGGGGGAAATGTAGGTAGGCTTCCAGAGTGACTACCATATGGTCAATTTTGAACTTAAATGCAGCTTAAGAACCTCACTGGAAAAAAAAAAAAAGCTCTGTTAATAACATCTCATTTCAAAGTAACGTAATACATTCTTCCTGATTAAAAAAAAAAAAGTAGAGCCAGGCATGGTGGCACATGCCAGTAATTCCAGCACTCAGGAGGCTGAAGCAGGAAGGTCAAGAGTTCCATGCCAGCTTGGGCTAATATGTAGTGAAACCTCTCTCCTCTCTCCCACCCCCCAAAAAAGGCAAAGTTAAATGTTTGGGATGTTAGCTCAGTGGTGAATGTATAAGGCCTGGGTTTGGTTGCCAGCACAGCAAAAAATAAACAAATAAAAAGAAAAAGTACACTAAGCACACTGTCTAGGAATTTAAGAGAATTCTCTTAGGAAAACTTTTTCTTTAAGTTACATAACAGAACCAAAAAATTGTACTTTGGGGGTATTAAAAATTAAAACAACAAAAGATTTGGACATAATTTTAAGTTCAGTGAAAAGTCCATTTACTGTACTGTCAGACCAGTCTGCCTCTCTGGAGTGGTAAATTCCACAAGAAATGGACCAAGAAACCTTATAACACAGCAACTGTAGACTTGATTTTGAAAAGCCATTAACTGGATGAATCTGATCTACCTTTCCATTTCTTCAATCCAGTATTTACTCAGTCCAAACAAACAGACAAACAAACAATACCACGTAAATGTTTAAAAACTTTGCTCAGGGGCAAGAGCAGAGTTCTTATTGCCCCTCAGTTTCTTCCCTGGCCAAATGGATACATTCAAATACCTAATTGTTATGTAGGTTGTCAACAGGCTTTAATAGAAGAAAACATGCAAAACAGACTTAGCAAATAAGTTTCCTTATTTAGTGAGTCTCTTCCCTCTCCTAAAGAGTGGTCAATTCTCAGGGCCTAGCATGACACTTTTTCCTTGAGGCGATTTAATAAATATTAAACGAATCTTAGGCAAAATGCCTGGTGCTCAAAAAAATACTGGCTATTACCACCACCGAAACGAGAAGCAATTAAATTTTTATTGTACTTATTAAGAGATACCACCACCCTTCCCCCAAAGATCTCACATTTCTAGAGGAAACACTAGATAAATGCCTGAATGGCGAAATGGAGGTTAGAACACAACTGGATTGCAGAATAGAACCGTACACAAAATGCAAATCGTTATCAAATACACAACCAGAGCCTAATTTCGGACTTTTCCCGGGCAGGTTCACACAGTATGCCATCGATAAACCGCGATTAGGACGGTGACAGTTTTCACGCGTGGACGTGAGCGGGAGGGGGGGGGAGGTCTCTGCTCCGTCCGACTGGTCTTCCCTAAACCCCACAACTCCGGGAAAATGGAAAACAACGACTCTTCAAATCCCATTTTTCAGACAGGGCAACTGAGACTCCGGGAGAGCCAAGGTCACGGTCAGTAAAAGGGCGGGGGGGTATTCGAACCCCGGCAATGCCACCCCTTAGCCTGCAACTCACAGGCCCCCTCAGGCAGGCCAGCCTCGCCCTCCACCCACACCGAGCACACATCCCTCAAAACCCAGGGGCGCGCTACTTTCTCGGACCGGACTTGGGGCCCCCGCGCCAGGAAAACAAAACAATACTTGTCCGCAAGCAAGTCAGACGGCCGCCCGCCGGGCCTGGGCTGGCGAGGCCGCGGTGCCCAGTTTCTCTCGCACCACGAGCTCCGAACCCTCCGGCGACGTAGAAAACACCAAGGTGGCCTGGGGACCCGCGAGGGACCGGGACGTCGCGTGACCTTGGATCCCCCGCTCGGCTTCGGGCCTCAGTTTCCCCGCCCCGGCCTCGAGCCCCAGCCGCTCCCTGGGCATGTCGCGCCGGTAGAGCAGCAGGCCCCTCACACGCCCCCCTCAACCGCCCGCCTCCCCGCCTCACTCACGCTGGAAGGCGGCCGCTCCAGGGACGCCCACCATCGCCGAGCCCAGAACGTCGCGCTCCGCGCGCCACACGCCTCGACCCAAGGCCGAGGTCCTTTGCAAGCGCCGCCGCGCGACCAGCAGGCGCCCAGCTCACCAATACCAGCGACGCCGCCGCGGCTGCTGCCACCGCCGCCGCCGTTAGGCCGCGCGCAGCCCGGCCCCCTGACTAGCCCCTCCCCGTCCTCTAAACACGCCCCTGGAGCGCGCTCACGCTCGCCAGACCAACGCACGCGGAAGCCGGACCACAGATGGCTCACGCTAAACCCCGCCCCCTGACCTGACCCGCCCCTTCCGCGCGAACCTACGCCCTATCCCGGTTCCTCCTTGATCTTCAGGCCCGCCCCTCCTGCGCTACGCGTTCCCGTCACGATCACCGCCCACCTTCCAGGCTGGGGCTTCCGGATGTGGCCCGAGCAGCCGCCCGGGCGCGAGGGCGGAGTCTTGGGGCGAGGCTTCGGAGGATATAACTAGGTCTCACCTGAGTACTCCAGGTACAGGCCTGATTGCCTTTTCCTGAGCGTTTGTGCAAGTACTTCCACTTTTTGACACACAGTGCTCTGAATGTCTAAAATATTAATATTAATAGCTGTTAGCTACCATTATTACCGAGCTCTTTAATTAGACTCAAGGGCTGCTTTTATACACACCGTGTAGTTAGTGCTCACAGTGAGGAATAAAGGCATGAACCACCACACCAGGCTCCGCTGTACTTCAGATATAATGAACTATTAAAGAGTGATATTTACGTGGGAATAAATATGTGGGTGTTTTCATTAATGTATTTATTTTGGCAGTACTGGGGTTTGAACTCAGGGCCTGGGTACTGCCCCTAACTATTTTTGCTCATGCCTAGTGCTCTACCACTTGAGCACAGCTCCACTTCCAGTTTTTTTTCTGTGTGGTTAATTGAAAATAAGAGTCTCATGGACTTTCCTACCTAGGCTGCCTTCACATTGTGATCCTCAGATCTCAGCCTCTTCAGTACCAGGATTACAAGCATGAGCCACCGATGCCAGCTAAACTTAAGGGTTGTTTTTTTTTTTATTTTAAGCTTTAAAAACAAAAATAAATAAATAAATAAAAATAAAGAGTGATATTCGAAGGGCTGGGAAAGTAGCTCAGTGGTAGAGTGCTTGCCTTGCAGGCATAAGGCTGGGAGTTCAATTCCTCAGCACCACATAAGCAGAAAAAGCCAAAAGTGGCTCTGTGGTTCAAGTGGTAGAGTGCAAGCCTTGAGCTGAAGAGCTGAGGGACAGCGTCCAGGCCCAGAGTTCAGGCTCCACAACCAACTACAACAACAAAAAGAAGTATAAGCTGGGTGCTGGTGGCTCATGCCTGTAATCCTAGCTACTCAGGAGGCTGAGATCTGAGGATCATAGTTCAAAGCCAGCCTGGGCAGGAAAGTCTGTGAGATTCTTATCTCCAATAGACAGCACCCAGGCCCAGAGTTCAAGCCCCATGACTGACAAAAAAAAAAAAGTGATATTTGATAAGCTTTGACCGTTGTAAAATAAAATTCCTCCCACTCACCAGGCACTGGTAGATCACACCTGTCATCCTAGCAACTCAGGAGACTAAGATCTGAGGATCACTATTCAAAGCCATCCAGGGCAAGTACGATGAGACTTTTCATGTCCAATTAACCACCAAAAAAGCAGGAAGTACAGCACTAACCTTGTGAAAAAAAAAAGCTCAGAGATAGTGCCTAGGCTTTGTGTTCAAGTCTCATTGTCGGCACAAGAATAAGAAGAATAATTTTTTCCCTGCCTTTGCAATCATCCTTCCATCTTTATCTGGATCCAAGTAACCACTGATTTGCTTTCTGTCATGGGGCACCAGCTTGCTTTTGTGGAACTGCTTGTAAATAAATTCAAAAGCTATTACCCTGTCCCTTTAAGTTCCTCCTGGCCAACATAGACTTGGAGTCAACTGTGTTATTCCGTGTGTTAGTAGCTTAAGTTGTTGGTTTTTTTTTTTTTTTTTTTGCTGGTTGTGGGGCTTGAACTCTGGGCCTGGGCACTGTCCCTCAGCTCTTCAGCTCAAGGCTAGCGCTCTACCACTTGAACCACAGTGCCACTTCCGGCTTTTTCTGCTTATGTGGTGCTGAGGAATCGAACCCAGGGCCTCATGCCTGCAAGGCAAGCATTCTACCATTGAGCCACCTTTCCAGCACCTTGTTGGCTTTTTTTTTTAATTCATTAAATGGTTTTATATACCATCTTCCCTGTTTTTTTGTTTTGTTTTGTTTTTTCCTCCCTTTGGTTCTGAGGCATGAACTCTGGGCCTGGGTGCTGTCCTCAGCTCTTCAGCTTAAGGTTAATGCTCTACCATTTGAACCACAGTGCCAATTCTGGTTTTCTGGTGGTTTTTTTTGTTTGTTTTTGTTTTGTTTTGTTTTGTTCCACCATGGGGCCTGAACTCTGGGCCTCGAACACAGGGCCTCATGCATGCGAGGCAAGCTTTCTACCATTGAGCCACCTTCCCAGACCTTTTCTGGTGGTTTATTGGAGATAAGAGTCCCCAGTCTCATAAACTGGGGCTGGGAAGGTGGCTCAGTGGTAGAGTGCTTGTCTCACATGCATGAGGCCCTCGGTTCGATTCCTCAGCACCACATAAGCAGAAAAAAGCCAGAAGTGGCACTGTAGCTCAAGTGGTAGAGCACTAGCCTTGAGCTGAAGAGCTGAGGGACAGCGCCCAGGCCCAGAGTTCAGGCCCCACGACCGAAAAATAAAAAAATTATAGGCTCAAGTGCTGGAGAATTAGCTTAAGATATATCATTTGTGGGCTGGGAAGGTAGCTCAGTGGTAGAGTGCTTGCCTTGCAGGCATGAGGCTGTAGGTTCAATTCCTCAGCACCACATAAGCAGAAAAAGTCAGAAGTGGTGCTACAGCTCAAGTGGTAGAGTGCTAGTCTTGAGCTGAAGAGCTGAGGGACAGTGCCCAGGACCAGAGTTCAGGCCCTACAACTGACCAAAAAAAGAAAAAATCATTTGTCTAACAAGGCGGATGTACTGGGTTTGATGGGGGAAATGTTCATGTCCCAACCAAGTGCCCAGTGCCAAATGAATGTTTTTCTTTACCTAGTGACAGCAGGATAAAAATGGGTGGCAGAAGAGAGGGGTACACACTGCCTGCCATCTGCTCTAGCCATGCCCCTTCCATTAATGAAGGATAAACACCAGGCCAGGCCAGATGACAGTGAGGAAAAGCCACTTAGAAGTGTATGTATGGTCTTTGCTAAGTAAATAGGAGACAGCAATACCCATGGCACTTTAGAAAGGCTATATATGTATGCCAGAGAAATATCTGCCATGGCTGCCACCCTTCCAACAAACAAGCCTTTTTTCCAAAGACAAAAAAGCCCAAGAGGGCTCAATGGAAGAGAATGAGCAAGTTAAGTTTTTTGGCCACTAGTTATATTACTAAAATTAATTATCAAGGGCTGGGAAGGTGGCTCAGTGATAGAGTGCTTGCCTTGCATGCCTGAGGCCCTGGGTTCGATTCCTCAGCACTACATAAGCAAAAAGAAAGAAAAAGAAAAAAAATTAAATTAAATTAATTATCAATTATGGTTTACATTCTGGAATATGAACATGCTCAGGATGAGAAATTTGCATACTCTACAAAAAGATTATGAGGAAAGTGAAAAGACTTTTGTGTTTATGTGTATGCTAGTGCTAGGCCTTGTTGAACTCAGGGCTTGAACACTGTCCCTAAGCTTTTTTGTTCTATGTTAGTGCTCTACCATGTGAGCCACATCCCCACTCTGGCTTTTGGGTGGTTAATTGAAAATAAGAGTCTCAAGACTTCAAACAGTGATCCTCAGTTCTCAGCCTCCTGGGTAGCTAGGATTACAAGCATGAAACACTGCTGCTTGGTGGAAATACATTTAAATTTTTACCATAAGTAATAAATTGTGGTCACCATTTTACTGTGTATTCTTCAAAATTATTCCTACTGGTGGATATGACACATTTACAGAACTGAGATCACATGTATTTCTGCATCCTGGTCCCTGGCCTATGTGTAAATATTTTTGAAAAATAAACACAAAAATTATCTTTGGCTGGGCACCAGTCACTCACATCTGTAATCTTAGCTACTGAGGAGGCTAAGATCTGAGGATGGAGATTCAAAGCTAGCCCAGACAGGAAAGTCTGTAAGACTCTTATCTCCAATTAACCACAAGAAAACTGGAAGTGGTGCTGTAGCTCAAGTGGTAGAGCAGTGAGCTGAAGAGCTAAGGGACAGTGTCCAGGCCCAGAGTTCAAGCCCCACAACTGACAAAAAAAAAAAAAAAAAAAAGACTCATCTACTCAGAGCTGCACACACAGCCTTAGAGCAAATAGGTCTGAGATTTCATTCTTAGGCAAATCCTCCGGGGTCTCACACTTGATCTCTTATACCTTCTTGGCTCTCCATTGTAATTGTCTGTGAGAGTGGAACAAGAGACACAGTGAGAAGAAATCTATTAGCAAGTCTATTCTGAGTCCCATTTCTCCATTTGTAATATCAATACTACCCACCAGAGGGGCTCTGGATAGTAGATGAGAAACACACAGTAGATGCTAAAGCATGCTTCACATTACTGGGTTTCCTCCCTCTCTCCTTTCCATCCTTTATTGAACACCTACTATGTACCAGGGATTTCCCTGAGCACTGGGGATGCAGCCATTAATAAGACAGCAAAATCCCTGCCCCCTGGAGCTGGCATTCTTGAGAGGACTATTAGGATGAATTGTCAATAAACAATAATAAAAAGCAGGCTAGAGAAAGGCAAGTAAGGCAAGGAGGATACAGGTGATCTTTTATATAAAGTGGCAAAGAAACTTCTGTTTGTGTTTTGCACTGATACTAGATCCTGAACTCAGGACCTGGGTACTATCCCTGGAATTTTTTGTTCAAGGCTCGTGCTATCTCTTGAGCCTTAGTTCCACTATCAGCTTTTGGCTGATTAATTGGAGATAAGAGTCTGAGTGATGTTCTTGCTTGGGCTGGCTCTTCAAACCAAGAACCTTAGCCTCCAGAGTGGCTAGGGTTACAGGTGTCAGCCACCTGTGCTGGGAATAACTGTTTAAGGTGGTGTTTACACTGTAGAAACTAGAA